AACATATTCTTCTTAGCAAAGTATCTCAAGAATGGAAGAAAAAGTATCCAATGTACTCAGCCCTACTATGAAACTAATTTATAGCTTTCATATGACCAATATGACCCAATTATAGCCCAAGAATATGGGGAAAAGGGAAAGGGAGGGGAGGGGAGGGGGGAGGATAGGTGGAGGGAGGGTGATTGGTGAAACCACACCTATGGTTCATCTTACAAGGGTACATGTGAATCTTTCTAAATGTAGAATATAAATGTCTTAACACAATAACTAAGAAAATGCCATGAAGGCTATGTTAACCAGTTGGATGAAAATATTTCAAATTGTATATAAAACCAGCACACTGTACCCCATAACTGCAATAATGTACACAGCTATGATTTAATAAAAATTAAAAAAAAAAAAAAGATCTGGTGTCAACTCTAAATGGCTATGACCTTCACTATTCTCCCTTCTCTGACTTCTTGGCATCTTGTTAGCACGCAAATTGAAGAGGGTTCCCTTGTAGCATTGTTGTGAGATTAGAGAGGAGTTAGGAGCAAGAAATCTAGTGTAGTAGTAGTGACTGGTCACTAGTAAAGTGCCTGACACAGAACCTTATAGATAGTATATGCTCTTCCCTCTCTCCCTTCCTTTCTTCCTTCCTTCCTTTTGTTTTTTTGGAGACAGTTTCACTTTCTCACCCTCGGTAGAGTGTTGTGGCATCATAACTCACAGCAACCTCAAACTCTTGGGCTCAAGCAATCCTCCTGCCTCAGCCTCTCGAGTAGCTGGGACTATAGGTGCTGGCCACAATGCCGGCTATTTTTAGAGATGAGGTCTTGCTCTTGCTCAGGCTGTTCTGGAACCTGTGAGCTCAGGTAATCTACTAGCCTCAGTCTCCCAGAGTGCTAGGATTACAGGCATGAGCCACTGCACCCAGTATTCTCTCCTTTTCTAGAAACGGTCAACCCCTTTACAAAAGTTGGCTCTCAAATTACGAGCAGTCACACATAGTAGCAATCACACATAGTAGCAATCATGCAGTTTCCACTTCACCCCTGTGGTTCTGCACTGTGGTCAGCTGGGCTTGCTCATAGCCATGGCTGGTGAGCTCCCTGGCCCACAGGAGGTACTCTTAAAGGGTCAAAATCAAGCCCAGAGGAACTCTCTTCCTAGGGACTTAAGGGAAATGGATGGACTGGACAAGAGTCATTGCCCTCAAGAGGTTCTTTTCTGGCTTAGGAGAACAGATTCAAGCTCTGGAGAAAATCCATAAGTTAAGGATTAAATCCACAGGCTAGAAGCTAAGAGTCTCCTAGAAACTAAGAGAGCTTCTACTACTCTCTTCCATAAGACTGAATTCCTCAAGAGCAAGGCACCAGATCTTATATTGTTTTTGTGTTCTCAGAGAATAATACAGGGCCTGGCATGTAGAAGGTGCTTAAATTTTTATTATATATAACAATGTTTATGGCAGCATTATTTCTAATAGCATAAAAAAGTAAAATCCTAAAAGAGCTTTTAAGCTGGGAAATGAATGGATAAAATAGAATTAGAGAAAAAATTTTAAAAATTAGAATATTTAAAAACATCTTCTTAAAAATGTGTGGATTTGTAAATACTAACAACAAAGTAAATGACAAAGGTGACAAAATAATATAAATATGATCTCAGTTTTTAAAAAAGATACATTGGAAAAATATTAGAAGGAAATACGTAAAATGTTAGCAGTGGCCAGATTATGGGTAATTGTCCAAATTTTCCATAATGGACATGAATTATTTTTATAATCAATCACAGCATAAGTTGATCCCTATTAAAGACACAGAAGCAGTAACTGCTGGCCCAGGTAGACGGGCAGGCTCTGCAGATGAGATATAACTTGGTACCTTGAAGAACAAGTAGGAAACTTAGCTGCTCCAAAGTGGCCAGGGGCACCAAGCCCCTACTGCGGCAGAACTCTGTGCAATCCTGCTGCACCCTGTGTTCTCAGTAAAAAGCTGTTAAGCCCAGGAGTCTCTCAAAGACCACCACCAGACAAGTCGAATTAAAGAAGAGTCCTTTTATTGAAGAGCTGGCTGGTGACTACCTCAGTGTCCCAACATGGGGTTTCTGAGCACAGCCCCAAGCTGTCTGAGGCTCTGACTTTTATAAGGCAAAATTTTTCCAGGGGGCAAGCAAAAACATAGCAGCAGTTAGGGGAAATCATGAGGGTAAGGCAGCTTAGTCAGTTTACACAATGCTATGATCACGAGAACAATTAGTAATTTTTATAAAACAGGTATAATCTATAATGTCCTAAGGTAGTGTAGGGAGGGGGATTCGCAGGTGAGCATCTAAACAGCATGATCATAAAAATTGATAATCACCAGGGATATAATCCTGAGTGCACTCAGTAATTTACATCACTAACAATTTTAGTTGAATGCATTCACAGTTATACAATGGGAGGGCAAACAAGAGGAACCAGTTTCCAAGGTAATGGAATATAACAAAAAAGGAGTAAACAGTAAAATGGAGTCAAACTTGCTCTTTTAACATTTCCATATCATATACAGATGGCATGAAGACCACCTTAACATAACATGAGGGTTGTTGTCGCAAGGGTAGTTAGTGACTTTCTACACAATACTAATAATTATAACAGTTCTAACCAGGTACACTTAAAATACCATGCAATGGATAGGGAGGCAAGTGGAACTAGTTTTTTTTTAAATGCAATAAAATGCAACAAAACAACAGAATGGAATCAGGCCTGCTTTGCCTTCCCACTGATTGTCAGGAAAATAAAAATGGAGTTAGGCTTGCTTCTCTTTCACGTTAACAAAGCAAGCAAAGCAAGCACAGTTTTCCAGGCATGGAACCTTCCAAAGGCTTCACTTGTACCCTCAATAAAACCCAAACTTCTTGCATGGGCTGCAAGCTCTCCATAATCAGGCCTATTCTCCCCTCCATCCATTCACCTTCCATCCTCTCCCCTCCCACCAATCCGCTCTGCCTTTCTTTCAGCCTCTTGAATATATACCACCTTCCCACTCCAGAACCTCTGGGTAAATCTCTGGTACAGAGGTACCAGATGTACCCTCTGCTCCCATATCTTTACCAGACCTTTGTCTTTGAGATCCAGGGCAGTGTCAACAACTTGGAGGGCTGTTCTTGGTGCCCAGCTTAAAAGCAGTACCCTTCTCCAACCCTACCTCCATCACATGGGCTTGTTTTATTCGGTGCACAGCACTTTTACTTTCGGACATGGTCTTTATTATCTGCTCATTGCCTAGTTCTCCTGGCGCTGGAATGAGGCTTATTCACGTTTGTATCTCTTAACACTAGTAGATACTATTAATTTGGCAGAGGAGTGAAGGACAGTTGTTCATCCTCACCACAGGAAGTAAAGTTGGGCATCACCTTCCCTGGGGAGCCTTCTTTGACCAGGCTAAGTTCCCAGAATCTGGGGCTTCCTCCCAGACACTATGATCGCTTGGGGCCAGCTGATTGCTGTGTGGCTCCCAGACTCGGTTCGGGATGTCTCCAGCGGAGATACCGAGAGGCACTTACACAGTTAACTCCGATGCCTGGTTGGGCCGCGGCTGCAGACTCGCAGGCACAGAGGGGCGAGAGCGCCGCGTCTGGGAGGGCTTCCTGGAAGCGGCGGCCTCCGCAAAGCGGGCAGGATCTAGAGGTGGCTGGGGACGCACGTCAAGCTGTGGCCGACGTCCGGGCAGGCCGCCCACAGGGCGGGGGCCTGAAATCCGCTCTTATGCGGTAACAATAATAGTAGCTATCACTCGGTGTCCGCGGGCAGTACACTCCGGTCCCCACGCCCCGGGCCGGCCACCGCGATGAGCTCTCCCGCAGCCGCCCAGCGCCACAGTTCCCGGGCCACCACCCGGGCGGTCCGCAAGCAGCCGGCCGGGCCGGCGGGCACGGTGAGCACGGGAGGCCGCGCGGAGGCCCGGCCGAACGTCCTTACCGTTTCCGAGGCCGGCTCCCCGGTACCCAACGACATGATGGCGGCGGTGCCAGGCCACCCTTCAGAGCTGCGGGCTCCGCGGTCCAGGAGTGGGACTTCGCGGGCAGCCCCCGGAGCCCGCAGCCTCCGGGCCTGCCAGCGCCCGGGCCCGCGACCCCGCTGCCATGGCAACCGCGCTGCCGGACACCCTCCCTTCTGGCACCGGATGTGGCTTGCGTCGGGGCGACCGTGCGCGTGCGCAGAGTCCATGATCGCTTTCTGGCCAACCAGGAGCTCTCCCGGAGTTGCCAGGGCGGAGCTTGGGGACTGAACTGAAAGAAAAAGGGAATTGCCCGGCAGAGGGCCGCGCTTAACAGTTTTGGAAGTGCTTCTCTCGCCTTTATCTCATACAAGATTGATTATGGGCTGTGTAGGCTGAGCAGGAGGCACGATCGATAAACAGTAGGCAATTGATGCCTATTTTTCAAGTTAACGTCGAAAGAGAAATGGCTTGTTCAAAGGCACAGGCAACAATTTCTGAATGATGACATTTAGAAAACTAAAGGTTGTCTCCTTAACCTTGTATATTGGGCTCTCCGATTCCAAGTCAGCCACAGGAAAATAAAAAACGGAAGAGCTTGTATTGTACTCAAAGTGTATTATAAAGCTGTTTAGGAGTATTTGGCTTCAAAATTTATTTAAATTGTAGGCCATCTACTCTATTTAAAACAGCAGCCTAGAAGCCACTGCATTATTTTTCCAGCTCCCTTACATTATAAGAACATTCTGTGTCAAGAGTGTAAGCATTCTGAGGGCAGGGGCTATTTTTTGTTTCTGGGTGTATCTTCATCCCTGCAAAAGGGTCTGGCACACAGCAGGTGCTCAATAAACAGGCATTACTTCTCTGCCCCCGTCTCCTCAAATATAAAGTGGAAAAAAGGACCATTGGGAGGCTCAAATGAGTCCTTATTTGTACAGTGCTGAGAACAGTTGCTTGTCCCAAAGTAAGTGCAGTGTGGCTGTGTTGTGATGAATTATGTGCTGAATGAATGTGTGGTATAGTGGAAAAATTGTTTGGCAGGTTATTCCAGGTCTTCCCCCTCTGCACCTACTATAAGTCCATGATCCTTTTCTTCTCAGTTTCCTCATCTGTACAACTAAGGAGGGTGAGCTGATTGGCAGTTTCAGGGTTGTCTCCCAGGGGCAGGGAAGATTGAACCAGTAGGGGTTAGAAGCCCAGTTTTTGTAGTCTCACTGTTGTCTCTTTGTAAGCAAGATGGAGGTAGTTTCAGGCCTTTTGTTGGTTGCAAAGGACCAAAGAGAAATAAAATTCAACACAGTGCATAGAAGATAGTAAGCACCTCTACAAACCATGCACAGAAGCTACCATGCAACACTTTGCACTAGCTCTATTTATAATAATAAATAATAAAAATTGTATTTATTCCTAATTTTCCATTCCACTCTTCAGTGTTGCTTCTGTGCTGTCAAGGTCCTGTCAGGTAGCAGTTTCTTCCCAACTCACAGTTTCTTGTTTACGCCATCTCTGATGCAGCCTAAGAGGAAAGAAACCCCACACTCTTCTCAGTTCTCACCAGAGTTGTTTCTGCAAGGCAAATCCTACCAGGCCACTTATGTACTTAAACACTTCCATTTGTCTTCAGGACCTTGTCCACATGATACACTTATAGCAGGGCTTTTACTATCTCAGCCACCGGTTGCCTCATCCTCAAGCTTCACAAACACCCTGCCCTTCTCTTATTTAACTACGAAGACAGTGCATATCTGCAACCCTTACGTCCGTGATTATGAATTCCAAAAAAAGTCTGAAAATCTTTTATAATTTCTTTGATGGTGTCCCAATCTCAACTTTGTCCCAATCTCAACTCTTTTGATTTGGAGGCAAATCTCTGAGCTGAGGCTATTTATAATGTTCATCCCACTTAGAGTTCATATCAATGAGTTTCACTGCAGAACTATTTAAAACATTTAATTATCGGGTGCTGCATCAGACCCTGCTAGGTTGGTAATCTCATTTCATTGTATATGTACCATGTCTATCCATATCTTTAAAATCTGAAAAATTCTGAATTCTGAAAAACGTTTGTCCACAAATGTTTCAAACAATAAATTGTGAACTGTATAATATAGTATTCATATCTGGAGCTCGACTGCCTGGGTTCAAATCCAAGCTGTGCCAACCCACTAGCTGTGACAACTTGATTTAGCCTCTCTCTGCCTCGGTTTCTTCATGAGGGAAGAATGGTTCTAGAGTTAAGGTCAAATGTCATGAGTTTGTATTAAGTGAAGCACTTAGCACAGGGCTATTCTGAGTTTTATTTTCTCCACAGCTACTTAATCAGGTGAATATGAGCTTCCTCATTTTATGGTCAATGTTTTTAAGATGTAATTTTTATCTTAACAGCCAGAGGAATTCTGTTTGCTATTTCTTTTCTTTTCTTTTTGAGACTGAGCCTCAAGCTGTTGCCCTGGGTAGAGTGCTGTGACATCACAGCTCACAAAAACCTCCAACTCCTGGGCTTAAGCAATTCTCTTGCCTCAGCCTCCCAAGTAGCTGGCACTACAGGCGCCCGACACAACACTGGGCTATTTTTTGGTTGCAGTTGTCATTGTTGTTTGAGAGGCCTAGGCTGGATTTGAACCTGCCAGCTCAGGTGTATGTGGCTGGCGCCTTGGTCACTTGAGCTACAGGCGCCGAACCGCTTGCTCGGCTTAACACTTGTGGCCTCGGGCTTATGTCCCCAAAAGGCTTATATCCCCAAAGCGTTGGTTTTACAGCAAGATTTTGGTGTTTGCCTTGAACATGAGCCTTGTTTATCCGCTGGCTTTGAGAGCCTAGTCGCATACTTCAGGACCCCGTTTTAAGACTCAGAGGCTACACACCAATGCAGCCGCACTGACTGGGGAACTCGTGCCGGCTAAGCGCTTTCCTCCCAGCTGCCTCCTTAGACAGGGGGCGCCCCGCCAGCGTGGCCCCGCCCTTCAAAACATAGCCCCGCCTCTCACAGACAGCCCCGCCTTCGGGACGCTCCGCCCACCGGATGCTCTCGCGTCCTGGTGGAGGTGATGCATCGAGGCGACCGGTTTGGCGCCGGCCTGTCCCTCCAAACCCTTTCAGCCTGAGCTCTTTCCCCAAGCCTGGCCCACTAGGCTTCCATAGCGGTCTCCAGGGGAGCTGTCACGGTTCCCCACGCCCGCCGTCCCCTTCAGGCCTGATAGATTGCACAGTCCGAGGGCGGAGCCTGCGGCTGGGGGGCGGAGCCTACGGCTGACGCAGGAAAACTGCGCGGGTGAGGGGCGAGCGACCGGGCTAGGAGCGTGTAGCCGGTGCGTGGTGGGGCGCGGGAACGAGCGGACCAGGTCTGACCCCGGGTGGAGGGGGAGTGTGCAGGGCTTGGGTCCGGTCTATGGGCCGACTGCGGCCGCTACGTCCGGGGCCCCTTTTGGACCCCCGGGCCTGGCGCGCGGGGTGCTCAAAACTGACCCGAATTGCTGGGACGGGGATGGACAGACGGATGCCCGAGTCCGGACAGCTGTAGACCACCCGGGTCAACTCCCAGGTTGGACACACAGATGCACACCCTGGTCCTTCCCCTCCGCCCTCCTCTGCTACTGCAGGGCTATCAAATGCAGCCACCACGGACTCTGGGAGGAAGAATCACTTTCTATCCCGGACTGACTCCGGGTCGAGTGCATGGATACACATTCCCCGGCTCACACTACTGACTCCAGAATTCACAGATGCCCCTGACTCACCTGAAGCCTCAGGCAGTGTACCGTGCTGTCCCTCCACCCCACCAAAGTCAAAGGTTAACAGGCTTTGGAGCTCCCAGGGCCCTTGTGGCTTGGGCCAGACTCTAACGCCTCCCTTGCTGCTGGGACACCAGCTTGTCCAGGACCCTACCCAGACTGAGGCTTTCCATCCATTCTAGTAGCTTAAACCTCTGGTCTCTGACCACAAGCATCACGGGCTACCTGTGACTAAGGGAGTGGGGTCTGGAGCGACATTGAGGACTGGCTCTCACATTTCCTTTACAGGAACCTCCGCTTCATCATGGACCACGAATGCTCCCAGCTCCTGCCTGCTGTCTGTGCAGTTTTGGCAGATCCCAGGCAGCTGGTGGCAGATGACACCTGTTTGGAGAAGCTCCTGGACTGGTTTAAAATGGTAACAGAAACAGGTAAGGGGTGGGTACTGCTGTTCACAGAGGGGCATATGGAGCCTGGGGCAAGGCACCAGGGTCTCCTGTCATGGAGAAAGGGCAGGAACTGTCTGTCCATATCTGTTTTCTAAAGATTCTCCGTGGCTAGTGGGGACAAGGTGAGCTGAAGCCTGAGGGAATGGGCAGGAGAGTTTGAGCTTGAAGTTTTTTTTAAAGGAATATAAAACTTTATTGACCACTGTTCACTATTATTTACAATAAAAGGAAACAATATACAGTTGGATAACATTCTGATTATTATGACTTTTTTTATGGCTTCTGCTCAACGAGTAACCCAAATATTGAAAAGTTTGAGTCTACATGTGAGGAATGAGTTGGGGTAAGGAAAAAACATGCAGGTCAATAATTTAGATTACAGTCTTGGCGCCTATGGCTCAAGTGGCTAGGGCGCCAGCCACATACACCTAAGGTGGTGGGTTCGAATCCAGCCCGGGCCCGCCAAAACAACAATGATGGCTGCAACAAAAAAAAAAAAAAAAAAAGCTGGGCGTTGTGGCGGGCGCCTGTGGTCCCAGCTACTTGGGAGGCTGAGGCAGGAGACTTGCTTGAGCCCAGGAGTTGGAGGTTGCTGTGAGCTGTGATGCCATGGCAGTCTACCCAGGGAGATGGCTTGAGGCTCTGTCTCAACCAAAAAAAAAAAAAAATTTAGATTACAAAGTTTGTTCACACATTTATGTCAACAGGTGTGAAAGTGCCAACATGGCTTAACCATCTGATTAGGTTTCTATACGCCAAGCCTAGGAATGGCTTACTAGAGGAATCTTTAATGACCATTTAACTAAGTCTTATTTGTTTACCTCATTAGAACACACCAGGATTTGTCTAGTTTCCTCTTGTGAGTGGGGAGGTTATTGGTAATGATAAAGCTTTTCCTTTTAGAAATTTTGTAAACACAATTTTGCATTTATATGACTATACATACAGATTCTGTCGTGGCTGCCTTTAAATTATACATTTAAATTGTTGAATTAAGAATCAACTATTTAATTTGAAATATTATAGTTTCAGGAAATTTTTTAATTCTTACATTGCTCAGAACGATGGTATTGCAGACACCTGGGCTTACCTGTGATTTTTGTTTTGGTGAATGTTTAAAAACAAAGAAAATCATTTACATATGCATGTTACATATACACATACAGATAAAAATTTAAAAAAGAACAAACCCAGAATGGTCCTTATGCAAAGAGTTAAGCACAAGTTCTTACTGAATAATGGCTATGGGAATTTCCCTTAGCATTTAGAAAAGCTGTTCTCTAAGGCAGAGGAAATAATATGCCATGGTATCAAATGTTTTTTTTTTCTAATAAAGGAAGCAACTAGAGAAAGCTTTTATTTGTTCAAAGTAACCAGTGCTATTGATGCAACCCCCCCCCACGACTCTCCCAGTACTACTTTCAAAATGGACATATCAAACTTGATTTATTAGAATATAGTTATTCACACTCATCAATCAAAAACCAAGATCCAGATTTTATAAAAAAGCAATGCAAACAATTATTGTGCTTCATCTTCTGAACAAGAATACCAAGTTAGTCTCTCTTCATAAAAAACAATAACAATCTGAGGACACTTCGTATTTGCTTCTCTTGCCAGCACCAAATCTGCCTCATCTGAATCTTTCCATTTCATAAGAAACATTAATTCTCCACTGCTGTCTGTGACACTGTCTCTTCTTCCAGGATCAAGACCCCTGGCAAAGCTTCTTGGTTTGTCAGCAGCATCTCTTTTCTTCTTTGATTTGCTATCATCCGATTCACTGTCAGATAAAGGTTTTCTTATTGTACCATCTTTTTCTTTACCAGCTTTTTGAGAATTAAGAAATGCTTCATTTAGCTCTGGACAATGTAAATTTTCTTCAGATTTCCAAGTATCATCAGCATCTGTAAATCCCTTCCACTTCAGGAAATACTTCACCTTCCCATTTACTACTCGTCGATCCAGAACTACTTTTTCCACCACAAATTCTTCAGGCTCTGCCTCTTCAACCTTTTTACTCTTTCCATTCTGCTTCTTTCCAATTTTTTGCA